TTTTTATTTATGCATATAATACTTTTCTTTGAAATATATTTAGCTTGTCTCGCATAAATCACCATATGTTTGGTGCAATATAGCCTAGTGGGTGTTGACATGCCACAAAACCACATTTCATTTCATATTATTCAGATGATTTTGGATTCCTTACTCTTTATTATTTGGAATGCAATCACATGTAATTTGGGCATATTTATTTGTGGCCCTGTCCATCGATCTGTCAACAATTGGAATGACTAAGGGCCAATCCCAATATTTTGTTGGAGAATAAAATGCTTAATAAAAGTAGCAAAGTTCAGGGTCAAAATTCACGACGGCACCCGCTGCAATTGCCGTAGTATTAGCGAAATTGTCGTAGAAAATAAATAATAACTAAGGCATATTTAGCCGTGGTAATTTATTTAAGAATATCACGACGGCAATTTGCCATGTTGACAGTAAAATCACCGTTGTATACGTGCGTAATCCACGGCATAATCGAAAGTAGGAATTTATTGTTTTGTTTCTTTCCTGAGTTCTCATGACTGTAATTTTCTATCTGACCTAATTCTACCGTAACATCACATGCTGGTGGCTAGAATGGAAATACACACGGCTCGTTGTCTATAGTGTATTTAATCATTTAAGAAGTTCAAAACAATTTCCAGATATAAAGGCTATGAATAATTTACTAGAAAATATGACCAAATAAAAGAATTAGGTCGGGAAAATATTGCATACTAGCAGGGTACCCGGCTTCGCTCGGGGGTCATAACTCCGAAACCGGAAGTGGTAGACTAACGCCACCTGGCCTATGTTACTCCCCGGTCCGAGCTACCCCTATACCCCAAATTTCAGACTCGGGGCAGACCTAGTGTAGCCACCAACCCCGAACAGACAGACAGACAAACGACAGTCCCAAATATATATAGATAATATAATTGTTAGCGTAAATATAGACGGGTTGTGAGAAGAAAAAAAATCCGGAGGGTGTTACATGTCCGTCGCACGATGTGCATGTAATATTATAATGCCATGCACAGGTGTGAAGTCGTGTTTTGAGAGTCAATTTACGGTATTATTATGGATATTTTAGAATCAGAATTCAACGGCGAAGTTATCATTTAAAACGCAAGTTTGGTACCACGATACTTATATTTGGTGGAATTCACGAGGATACGGATTATAGAATTGCACAAATCTTTTTTTTTTTTTTTTTTTTTAAATTATTATTTATTCAAAAAATATTACATAACAGATAACAGGTACATCATACAGTATTATTACATGATAGGGTTTATCATTACATCATATGTACATATGATTATATCATACAATTTCAAAATCATTTATTTAACATTCATTTATTATTGCCAGTAGATGATTATCTTTAGTATTGTGTGCAGGGAATACGTTACTTCTATTAGTCTCAAAGGGTACTGTTTTATTATGTGTAATTATATTTAGCTTGGTTTCCCCCCAAGATGTGTTATCTCCCCTTAAGGAGGCCAGAGTCTTGACATTATTAGCGACCTTTTTTGTACATTTTAAGGGAAAATTTAAGCTGTTAAGCGGTAGATTAAAGTACAGATCCTTTCCACGAAATGAAAGTCGAAAGTTGAAAGGACTTAAGTACGTTTAGCTACCGTGTTGTTCATATAATTTAATAACAATAATTTTTGTTTATTTCTGTTTTATTTGGGTATGCGGTAAAAATGTCCATTTATTAAGTATCTTCTTATTAGTTTTAAAAATTTCCAGTTCTAAGGATTTTTTACTTTGTAAAAATGCTCTGTATCTTTCGCGGGTAGGAATATTTGCTTCTATTTTTGATTTATATATGTAATACTTAGTTAAAAATATTATTTGATTTACAAAAGTCCATTTGTTAATATTGTCAAAAACTGATTTATCTAGGCATCCAAGGTGAATTTCCTTTTGTGTTATATTTACATTTTTATTTGCTTTTGTAAGAATTTCATACATTTCGTTCCATATTCGTTGCGTGTAACTACAGTGTATAAACAAATGATTTACAGTTTCAATATCTGAAAGACAGAAAGAACACAGGGTTGATTCCGTCAGTCTTAATTTACAAAGTAATTTATTTGTATAAATTATTCTATGGCTGTACTTATATTGGAAGTTCTGTAATTTAGAGTTAATATTTACATGGTGAGCTAATTTGAACATCATTTTTATATCATTTTCTTCAAATTGGTGTATATTTAGTTCTTCCTCCCATTTAGTAATTGATTTTGCTTTTTCGTATTTAGCTAATACCATTTGGTTATAAATGACTTTAGCAGTTATATTTATTAGATCTTTTTTATACCATGCTTCCAAATTTCTGTTGATATCATCTATAGCTTTGTTATATGTTCGATTAGGCGTGTCATTTAGATTCACTTGGGTTTTAAGCATTTTTTTAATTACTAACGCTGTATTATTTACATAAAACTGGTCATTCCCATCTTTTATATGTATGTTCGCTTTATTTCCGATAAATTCATGCAAGTAGATTATTTTTCCTTTACCAAATGTTTTCTCATACTTATGGTTATAGATACTATTTTCTATATTTTTATTGTTACAAACTAGTTGATTTTTTAAAGATACTGAAAAGTCGATCTTTTGTGTATAAATCTTGTGCCAGTTACTAAATAGTTCCTGATAAAACGGCGATAAAAATTTTAATTTAGGTTTGTAATTACATGCTGGTAGAATATCACCCCCAAACTTATTTGTTATAAATTCAAAGGTAGTTTTCCAAGTTTGTGGCCAGGGCGTATATATCTTTTTTAACCAAAATATGCTCCTGGCTGTCATCATTTCTTGAAGACTAACCATGTTTAAACCTCCATATTCTATATTTTGACAAATCGCATCCCTTTTAATTTTATCCGGACCATTCCATAAGAACTTGTAAACGATTGCATTAAATTTTTTGATAATATAATCAGGAAAAGCTAGGGCTGATGCTGGGTATAATATTTTTGATATGTCATCTAGTTGGGGTTCAAAATTTTCTCTATCGGTTGTTTTTGTATCCTTTGAAAAGACAATTCCCAATATTCTTATGCCATTATTTTTACATATGAAACCAATGCTTTCCACATCCGTTTGAAAATCCAAGCTTCCGCTGTTAAGATCTATGGCTTCTGTTTTCGTTACATTTATCTCTAATCCGGACACTTTGCTAAATTTTTTCAGTACTTCGTATAGGTGTCTTGCCGATTTAAAATCCCTCAAAAAGCAGGCCACGTTGTCGGCAAAGGCAAGTAATTTGATTGATTTTTGACCAAATTTTATTCCTAAAATATTGTTATTATTTCTTATAAAATTGCATAAAGTTTCAATCACCAGATTAAATAAAATCGTACTACTAGGGTCTCCTTGTCGTACTCCCCTCTTTATTGGAAAATATGCAGTTGTGAAGCCATTGTTTATTACACAGCCATTAACGTTATTGTAGAGAGTATGTATAAATCTTATAAAATTCCGTTTTATACCGTATGTTTTAAGACTGTTTAACAAAAATTTGTGACTTATGCTATCAAAAGCTTTCTTGAAATCTAACGCACAAATCTTCGTGTCGCTGAGCCAAAGCAGATTCGCGGACTTGCAAGAAGTTTTAGGTCTTCTGATTTCGAAGAAAAAAACGGATTCATATTACGATATTCATATGGACTGCGGTGTACGTAAATTTAAGGGTGTTGTGGTGACCTAATTCTTGACAAATTCCGTAATAATATCGATATATATGTCAAAGTTTCCCAGTTTAAAAAAATGCCGTAGTGACGAAAGTAAATTAAAAGTTTTGCCTTAGTGCAGCTGAAAACTGCCGTAGTGATGAAGAAATTACTGTGGCATTTTTTGAAAAAAATGCCTTCGTTCCAATTTCAAAAATTTTGACCCCTGTAAGTCTCTAACTCAACATCATCCAAAGTCTTACATGTTGAAAATACGAATTATTTGTCAATTCAAATCAACATTGATTTTGTGATCTTACCGGGAAAATGTTGGCTTCTGATATCCAATATTTAAGACAAAATAAACATTTTACAACTGGTACACGAATCGTGTACCATCGTGCGTTTTAGCGTCATTTGCAACAAGTGACCAGCAAGAACGAGGCTAGACATATTCAACTGGAGTGCCTGCTCAATAGACTGGAATAACCAGACGCTAGAAATTGCTATAGGGTTGAGACACATGCCGTAATTCGCTGGATATAACTGATTTGAAATTAGAGTCAAAACGGAAACAATTGAATGTAAATCAGTTTATATACAATCAGATTACATTATTATATGCGTTGCGACCCATTTGGGTCAATTTCTAGGTCGCAAATATTAGCGATTTAGCTCCTTTAATTTTGTCTTAAAATCCCTTAAAATCCTCTACCAAAATCAATATCAGTGATACATGTTCAAACAACGTAAACCCATCAGTCTTTATCTTGAAATGAAGATCGGTGTCCCAAGCTGTATTATGCGGTGTCTGGATAAAACCAGACTTTTATTTTATAAAACTAATGTATAGGTAAAATTTACTTTTTGTTATCATGTTAAACACATGGGTCATTCACTGTATAGAACTATCAAGGATTGGGAATCGATTATCAGGTCACCCACCGAAAAATTGACCCGAAATCTTAAAAGGGTTAGTGTCGGGATAAACAGTTTTGACGTTCACATCCAAACGACTCAATATTTTGAGCTGGAATTTTGTGACAAGGTAAATACACCATTGCTCTATATGTTGGCGCTTAAATTTCATACGTACTCAGACTTTTATTTTTGGGACTCGTTCAAATTTGGATAGTCCCTTTAAAGTGATACAGGCTATGTTTTATTCTTATAAATGAGTAGTTTATGTTTATCTGAACACTTCTTGAATTAATCACTACAACTCATATGGGCCAGTATATTTGGTGCAGGAAAGTAAATTGTTAAACCCCATTTCATTTATAAATTCTGTGTATAATTTATAAAGTGATTGTATTTCCTTTTTAGGTAGTTATTGGTGGAAGAAATAAATACCTTATAAATGGTAGCAATGCTAATAACACAAGAGTTCAAGATCTCTTTCATTCTGTTCAGCTTAATGTTAACAATCCTCATTTCCTCATCATGCAAGGTCGTATCACAAAGGTTCTGAACATGAAACCTCCTGAGGTATTTTTAATTTAGTTTATAGTATTTTTATATGCCCACATTTCCAGGTGGACGTACATGTATTACGCGATATAGACTACTTTTTTTTGACAGAATCTTTCCAAATTTGGTGTGAATCATTGTAGTCATAAAGGGACGGACCCTATTGATATTCAGCGTTCTGTGAACAAGATTTCATGTGGACGTTTATTGTCGTCTCCCCTGTCCGTCTGTGTGTGTGCGTTCACATTTTGTTTGTGGACACTCTGCAGGTCACAATTTTTTTATATGCCCACATTTTCATGTGGACGTATTGTCGTCGCCCCTGTTCATCTGTCCAGACGTCTGTCCGTCCACAATTGTTTGTGAATAGTCTACAGGTCACAATTTTTATCCGATTTAAATGAAACTTGAAATATAGGTTAATCACCCTAAGATCTCGGTTCCTTTCGATATTGGCATGTATGGGACTGTAACTTCATGGATTATGGCCCCTGATTGTACGAAAAATCACTTTTTAGCTTGTGAACACTGTAGAGGTCACAATTTTTATCCGATTTGGTTTAAACTTGAAAAGTATGCTTATAACCCAAAGATCTTGGTTCCTTTCAATATTCGCGCATATCGGAACGTAACTTCCTGAATTATGGCCCCTGATTGTACAAAAAATCGCGTTTTTAGCTTGTGGACCCTATAGAGGTCATGATTTTTATTCGATTTAGAATTTTTTTTCCATTTAAAAAACCATATTATTATATCACCGTTAAACCCTAAGGATGGCTGAGTTCGAATTTCGTGAAAATAGGCCCAAAACTGACAGACAAAATGGCCGCCGTTCGTTCTCAAATAGCGTAAAAATATGGTATATCAAGGTTGTAGACCCTATAGAGGTCACAATTTTTATCCAATTTTATTGAAACTTGAAATGTAAGTTTATAACCCAAAGATCTCAGTTCCTTTCGATATTCACGCAAACCGTAACTTCCTGAATTATGGCCCCTGATTGAAATGAAATGGAGTTTAACGTCCATTTAGCGTTCTCAAATAGCGTAAAAATATGGTATATCAAGGTTGTGGACCCTATAGAGGTCACAATTTTTATCCGATTTTGTTGAAACTTGAAATGTAAGTTTATAACCCAAAGATCTCGGTTCCTTTCGATATTTGCGCATATCGAATTGTAATTTCCTCAATTATGGCCCTTGATTGTAGGAAAAATCACTTTCTTTTTAGCTTGTTTTCTATCCATCTCTCGAAAATGTGGGCGTATATTGCCTGGCAGCCGCTGGTTCCAATTTTGATGAAACTTAAAATATAAGTTTATATCCCAAAGATCTCGGTTCCTTTTGATGTTGGCATGTAACTTCCTGGATTATGGCTGGTTATTGTATGAAAAGTTACGTTTTCAGCTTGTGGACCTTGTAGAGGTAATAATTTTGTCTGATTTAAAAAAAACTTTCAAATATATCACCATTACTCCATAATGTAGGTTGAGTTCGAAATGTACTCCCCCTGTTTGCAAAAAGTGTAAAAGTATGAAGTAATACAAAGTTTAAATTCTAAGTCTGATTTGTAATGTTTTATTAAATTATGATATTTGCTTCCTATCAACAAATAGAATGAACCCATACGATCATACAGATACCAGAAAATGGTTTCTAACTTGTACGGTTGCAGAGAAATAGACGATTTTCTACGGTAGAGAAATAGACGATTTTCTACAGGTCACTTTTCAATGTTCTTGGTCTATAAAAGTGGCAATTATTATTCGATTTTCATAAAATTTTCATCATGTGATGTCTTTTGCCATTTATTATTTCATGGAAATAATTCAACATTTTCATTATCACCGGAAGTAATATCATTTTGGCAAAAACTGTATTTTTAGCCTTTAAAACAAACATTTTTTTTTTAAGTGAGTTATAGTTATTATTCTTTTAACATTATGATATTTGACTCAAATGGACATATAGATTGAATGAATACAATCATATAGATGCCCTAAAATTGCTTCTAGCATCTTCCCTTATCGAGAAATAACCAATTTTGTCAGGATCACTTTTTAAGATTTTTTTCGCATTTTAATTTCCCATTAGAAAGTCAGCTAACTTAGCGGTAAGTCAGTAACAAATTTTGTCAAAATCACTTTTTTTACGACAACATTGAAATGTGGTTGTATATTGTCGCCCCCGTCCGTCCGTCGTCCTTTGGTCCGGCGTCCACAATTGCTTGTTGATGCTCTAGAGGCTAAAGTTAGCATCCGATTGACTTTAAATTTATATACAGTGTTTAAGGCCATGAGACGAAGAAGCCTATTGATTTTCAGCATTTTCCGATAATTACTGCCAGCGTTATGGCCCTTGATCACTTCAAAAATTCTTGTGGACGCTCTAGAGGCTAAAGTTATTATCCGATTGACTTTAAATTTATACACAGTATTTAAGGTCATGAGACAAAGTAACCTATTGATAATTACTGCCAGAGTTATGGCCCTTGATCACTTTGAAAAATCTTGTGGACGCTCTAGATGTTAAAGTTAATATTCGATCGACTTTTCAAGTATATCCGATAATTACTGCCAGAGTTACGGCCCATGATCACTTTGAAAAATCTTGTGGACGTTTAAGAGGCTAAATTTAATATCCTATCGACTTGAAATTTATACACAGTGTTTAAGCTCATGGGATGAAGAAGCCTGTCAATTTTCAATGATTTCTAATGATTATGGAAATTGATATTAAATGTTTTGTATGCTAAATGTTAGAATAGGGTAGAACTAGAAGCCAAATGAGTTGTTACTTGTAATCAGATTTTCATGTGTTGTAAATGTTTTCATTTCTAAATGAAGAAGAAGTATATTTATTTTCGACTATATCCGATAATTGCTACCAGAGTTACGGCTTTTGATCACTTGGAAAAATCTTGTGGACGCTCTAGAGGCTAAAGTTAATATCCGATTTACTTTAAATTTAAATACAGTGTTTAAGGTCGTGAGACAAAGAAGCCCGGTGATTTTCAATGATTTCTGATAATTACTACCAGACTTATGGCCCATGATCACTTTGAAAATCTTGCTCTAGAGACCAAAGTCATCATCTGATTGACTTTAGATTGATACACAGAGTTTAAGGTCTTGAGATGAATTTTGATAACTTGAATAGCTAAATCCATGATATTAAGAGTGTATCCGCGAGAAGACCATGCAAAAATCGCAAAAAGTGCTAAGATGGGGGGTCGGAAGTTTTTGATCAAACTTATGGTATGACACCCCCTAGGGGCAAGAGGTAACATGCTGAAGTGGTTACAGTCTGATGTCGCTCTAAAGGACTGTACAGGAATTATTCATTTTATGGGTAAAATTGCGGTTTTCACATGTGTATTTATCACCTTTTTTAAGCACAGACTGCATTCTATGGTGGAATAGCAACCTTCTAATTTTGACCCTGTCTGATAAAGCGGGTGGTCAACTTCTACCCCAGCACTAATTTGAAAAAAAAAAAATCAGTACATACTAATTTTGTGTGGACTTGTTTTAGGGTACCATATTCACATTGTCCTTATAGTGCAGAAAAAGATACACTGTAACTTTTTCTTTCATGGTCGCAAGTAGAATTTCTTTGGATGGTTTTGAAGTGCTAAGCACATAGTATCCATAGGTGTAAAAAAAATGACCGGAATGCAACATACTTAAAATATACAGCTTATTGAAAAGTGCTAAAAAAAAGCTTTTGTGATACATTTTTTTGCAAATTTAATTAGAGAAATAAATTTTTTGACTTTTATATGTTTTCATCATATCCATAGCCATTATTTGTACCATGTTGTACTCTATATAAGTGTGTATTTGTATTTATTGTATATTTGGTATTGTCGTATTGTCCCTTTAACATATTTGTTGTATTGTCTCTTTAAGATTTCATTTTCAAACAAGTTACCGAAAATGGCTACAAAATGTTTAATTTCAGAGCATGTTTCCATTATTCATTTTGGGACACATCCACTGATTTCCACAATACAGAAATGTGGAAGCTTAAATATTAACGGCAACGAAGCCTAATTGCGTCGAAGTGGGTGACATTGAACAGTGTAGTATGGTAGCTACAGCTCTCGGGCACCGTCAGCTGCACCTTCAGGGCCGGATTTAGAATAAGAGAGGCCCTAGGCAAACCCCCTGAACAGGGCCCACGACATGGACCTTGGGGCCCTGGGACAAGCAACTCGGTGAGAGGGTGGGTCGGGGGAAGTCATGCGGTTGGTGGTTCGAATCTCATTTTTAGGTGAATTTTTCATTTTCGTTGGATTATTTTATTTATAATAATGTCTATTTGAGAGTAATGGATATGTTTGTTAAGATTGAGCACGTCGAAACTCCAATGGAAGGTCGTGGACAACTGCAGAAGTCAATTCCCGTTGACGCCAGATGAGCCATGAACGATTACAGGCCTTTGAAATAATTTTGTTCAAGATATTTTTATAAAACAGATACTAATGTATTTTAGGGTTGGTAGTAAACACCATATGAATAAAAAGGAAAATAAATTGTTAGGTTTTTTTTATCTACTACGGTTAATTATCTCCAAAATAGGGAAATTACAGGTTAATTTCATGGGTTATTGTTTCCTTTACCTAGTTTTTGTCAAGTCAATATTGTCGTATATTGTCGTCGCCCCCGTCCGTCCGGTGGTCCGGCGTCCAAAATTGCTTGTGGACTCTCTAGCGGCTAAAGTTAATATCCGATTGACTTTAAATTTATATACAGTGTTTAAGGCCATGAGACGAAGAAGCCTATTGATTTTCAGCGATTTCCGATAATTACTGCCAGAGTTATGGCCCTTGATCACTTCAAAAAATCTTGTGGACGCTCTAGGGACCAAAGTTAATATCCGATTGACTTTAAATTTATACACAGTGTTTAAGGTCATGAGACGAAGAACCTATTGATTTTCAGCGATTTCCGATAATTACTGCCAGAGTTATGGCCCTTGATCACTTCAAAAAATCTTGTGGACACTCTAGAGGCCAAAATTAATATCCGATTGACTTTAAATTTATACACAGTGTTTAAGGTCATGAGACGAAGAAGCCTATTGATTTTCAGCAATTTACGATAATTTCTGCCAGAGTTATGGCCCTTGATTACTTTGAAAAACCTTGTGGCCGCTCTAGAGTCTAAAGTTAATATCCGATTGACTTTAAATTTATACACAGTGTTTAAGGTCATGAGGCGAAGAAGTCTATTCATTTTCAGTGATTTTCGATAATTACTGCCAGAGTTATTGCCCTTGATCACTTCAAAAAACCTTGTGGATGCTCTAAAGGCTAAAGTTAATCTCATTGACTTTAAATTTATACACAGTGTTTGAGGTCACGAGGCGAAGAATCCTATTGATTTTCAAAGATTTCTGATAATTACTGCCAAAGTTATGGCCCTTGATCACTTTGAAAAATCTTGTTGACGCTCTAGAGGCCAAAGTTAATATCCGATTGACTTCAGATTGATACACAGAGTTTAAGATCTTGAGGCGAACAAGTATATTGATTTTCAATGAATGTTTATGACTTGGAACAGCTAAATCCATGATACAGTATTAAAAGTTTTGTATACAAAACGTTAGCATGGGGCAGAACTTTATAAAAACCAAACAAATTCTAATGGTTTTCTGAGTTGTTGCTCTTAATCAGATTTTAGTGTATTATAAATGTTTCATTACCGAAAAAAGTAAAAATATGCGACAACTCTTGTTGACTGCCCGGACGATTTAGCTGCTGTGGGCGTATGTTTCTTTGCCTGGCAACCTATCTTTATTTTTTGTATCAAATGTTGGGAGGTTGCTTGTTCACGTGAGCATAAATTTGTTAAACCCACCCCATGAAAGAAGTAGCTATAGGGCGTCAAACTTTGAGTGACGAAAAATGGGGAATTTAGACAGGCTTTGATATCCAGTCCGTATACAGATCTCGTTCGCCAGAATCGTCTGAAGTTAATATTGTGGTAACAGCACTGAGTCATCGATAAAAGACAGATTTTGGCAATTTCACCATATGAAAAATGTTTTTTCAATTTTCTCATACAGGAATTGAAAGATTTATCTAATATTGCACATTGATGTGTTTTGGGACTCTCCCAACTTATAAACCAAATTTGGTCAAAATCTGTGATTGAAGCCTTAGCACCTTCTGCATGGTTTTCTCGCGGACACGCTCGTAAATGTTTTGTACACTAAACGTTAGCATGGGGCAGAACTAAAAGCCAAACAAATTCTAATGATTTTCTGATAATTACTTAATGAGCTGTTACTCGCAATCAGATTTTAGTGTGTTATAAATGTTTCATTAAATGCCCCCAATTACCCACAAAAGAATAAATATGCGACAACTCTTGTTGACTGCTTGGATGACTTAGTTTCTGTGTGCATAATGTTTTGTTGCTTCTCTACCTATCTTTGTCCTCATTTCTTGAATTTCTGGATAAGTTGGTAACCAGGATTCTTGTTTTTAATTTTACAGATTTTATCTTTGATAGAAGAGGCAGCTGGAACTAGATTATATGAGTCTAAAAAAGAGGTTGTGAGGAAAACTATAGAAAAGAAAGATGCTAAACTCAGAGAGATTGAGTCTGTAAGTTCTGTATCAATGGAAAGCATTTATTTTTTGTATGCACACAATTCATTGAGGGCGTACTATGTTGTCACCCTGTCCTTTGGTTCAGCAGTTAACAATTCATTTGTGAATGTGATGGAGGATACACTTATTGACAGATTTTTTTTTATATGCACACATTTTCAAGTTGACGTATATTGTCGTCGCCCCTGTCCGTCCGTCCATCAACAATTTGTTTGTGGACACTTTACAGGTCACAATTTTTATCTGATCTCCTAAAGATCTCGGTTATTTTTGATATTCGCGTGTATCGGACCCTAACTTCATGGATTATGTCCCCTAGTTGTACAAAAAATCACATTTTTATACGCCCACATTGTTGTCGCACCAGTCTGTGCGTCCATCCGGCGTCCACAATTGCTTGTGGACGCTCTATAGGCTAAAGTTAATATCCGATTGACTTTAAATTTATACACAGTGTTTAGGGGTCGTGAGACGAAGAAGTCTATTGATTTTCAGCGATTTTCGTTAATTACTGTCAGAGTTATAGCCCTTGATCACTTCAAAAAATCTTGTGGACGCTCTAGAGGTCAAAGTTAATATTCGATTAACTTTAAATTTATACACAATGTTTAAGGTCATGAGACAAAGAAACCTATTCATTTTCAACGATTTTCGATAATTACTGCCAGAGTTATGGCCCTTGATCACTTAAAAAAATCTTGTGGACGCTCTAGAGGTCAAAGTTTATATCCGATTGACTTTAAATTTATACACAGTGTATAAGGTCATGAGGCGAAGAAGCCTATTGATTTTCAGCGATTTCCGATAATTACTGCCAGAGTTATGGTCCTTGATCACTTAAAAAAATCTTGTGGACGCTCTAGAGGTCAAAGTTTATATCCGATTGACTTTAAATTTATACACAGTGTATAAGGTCATGAGGCGAAGAAGCCTATTGATTTTCAGCGATTTCTGATAATTACTGCCAGAGTTATGGTCCTTGATCACTTTGAAAAATCTTATCAGATTTTGATAAAACTTTAAATTTATGTTTATATCACAAAGATCTTGGTACCTTTCGATAATCACGCATATCCAAACGTAACTTCCTGGATTATGGCTCCTGATTGTTCGAAAAATCGCATTTTTAGCTTGTGGACCCTTTAGAGGTCACAATTTTTATCTGATTAAAAAAAATGGTTTGAATATATCACCATTTCACACTAAGATCTTGGTTCCTTTTGATAATCGCTCATATCCGAACGTAACCTCCTGGATTATGGCCCCTGATTGTTTGAAAAATCGCATTTTTAGCTTGCAGATTCTCTAGAGGTCACTTTTTTTTTTTCCGATTTAAAAAAACGTTTAAATATATCACCATTCCACCATAATGAAGGTTGAATTTGAATTTCCTGAAAATTGAATTTAATTTTTATCCGATTTTGTTGAAACTTGAAATGTAAGTTTATAACCCAAAGATCTTGGTTCCTTTCGATATTCGCGCATATCAGACCCGAACTTCCTGAATTATGGCCCCTGATTGTAGGAAAAATCAATTTTTTAGCTTGTGGACCCTATAGAGGTCATAATTTTTATCCGATTTAAAAAAAACGTATTATTACATCACCGTTACACCCTAAGGACGACTGAGTTCGGATTTCATGAAAATCGGCCCAAAATCGACGGACAAAATGGACGCCGTTCGTTCTCAAATAGCGTAAAAATATGGTATATCAAGGTTGTGGACCCTATAGAGGTCTCAATTTTTATCCGATTTTGTTGAAACTTGATATGTAAGTTTATAACCCAAAGATCTCGGTTCCTTTCGATATTCGCGCATATCGGACCGTAACTTCCTGAATTATGGCCCCTGATTGTACGAAAAATCGCTTACTTTTTAGCAGCTGCTGGTAATTTTAATTTAAACAAATTATTAGATTTCATTCTTAAGATTTTTTAGAATTTTAGCACTGCTACAGGTAGCTGTGAACATTTCTGAATGTAGACTTTCGGTTAGGCCTTATGTCTGAAGCCAATTCTTGGCAGTGGCTTCCGAAGTCCCACTCATTTTAATTCTTATTTCTTTGTTAGAAAACAATTTCGTCTGCTTTTTATCGTGTGTTACTATTTTTGTTCAATCGGACGCACACCGTATTTTACGAATAATCTCGATTAACAGACGCACGCGATATAAACAATAATATTTTACAGGAATTCTTACTTTGATTTCTCATTTTACAATATTATTATTATGTTTACCGGTACATGTATTTAGTTTTTATATTTTATTTACAATACTTGGGGGATACACTGAATTTATTTTTTTCAAATTGAATACTGATATTATTACTCAAAATTGACATGTCTCGCAACATGAGTGGTACTACTTGATTCCCTATATCCGGTTTAATAGTCCCAATTTATAGAGTTATGTCCCTGCATTATATAGTATAATGAATTGAGTCTGGGTAGTTCGAGAAGAAAATGTCACACACAGAATTCAGTTTTATTTGATATTTTATAGACGTTGAAAGTGTTGAAAAATGTGGATAAATCTTCGTGTCAATATCCAAAATGACAGGCATATTAATGATTCGCATTTACTGAGAATCAAAAACATAAGATTTTAATTTTTAATTAGCAACGGACAAATTATGTATCGCAAATTGCGCTGCGATACTGGTTGTTGGCAGCCCTGCCTACAAGCTATTTGAAAATGCTAATCTATCCACAAGCCAACGACAAATGGCTCTCACAGCAAGATTTTAATTTTTGATTAGCAACGGACAAAATATGTATCGCAAATTGCGCTGCGATACTGGTTGTTGGCAGCCCTGCCTACAAGCTATTTGAAAATGCTAATCTATCCACAAGCCAACGACAAATGGCTCTCACAGCTACTAGTGACATGAAATTTAAAGATATGACGTCTGCTTTACGACATATTTTGGTGGTATTAACACTACTGAGTACTTAGACACATAGTATGCATCCTATTAAAGAATAATCTCTATATTATACTGGTGGAAGTCGTAATAGAAATGTTCAATTTCAATGAAGAAAAACAACAGACAATGCTGGTGCATTAAGTAATCATACAGATAATTTGCAACCAATTAAAGACTCCAACCGATTGAGCAGATTTGGGAAGAGATCCAGGTGTGTGATATGCCTGTCAACTTAGAAGGAATTTGTAAAAATTTACTGAAGATGCAGAGGGAGACGATGATGCGTGCAACATTACATTATTTGTAGGTAATGATCTGAAACAGTCTCAAAAAGATCTTCAGTAAACAAGATCTTGAAATTTTTTGTTGCAGAATCGATTGAGCTGGTGTAATTGATACAGCATGCACTAAGACAGTTTGTGGATACAAATGGTTAACAAATTTTTTAGATAATATGAACCCAAATGAAAAATCTGAAGTAGAACATTTTGACAGTAGAAGGCGCTTTAAATTTAGAGATGGCATAACAATTTATTCGCGTGGAAAGGTAAAAATACCAACCAATATTGGAAATAAACACTGTTTTATTGAAATCAAAATTGTCGATGCAGATATCCCATTACTCCTTAGTAAAACTTCTCTTAAAAAGGCAGAAACTGTTTTAGATTTAAAAAATGATACAGCAACAATGTTTGGCCAACCTGTGCATCTTGAATATACATCTAGTGACCATTACTGTGTAGACATTTCCCGGAGGAGTAAGACCCATCTTATGGAGGATGTAAGTTTTATTTGTTTTTGATAAAAATATGAGTAGAAGTAAAAAAAAGAAGCTGTTGATGAAATTACACAGACAGTTTGGTCATGCGTCTTATAATAGGCTACAGAAATTGTTAGTTAGTGCTGGAATAGATGACAAAAAAACTTTTACCATTTTAGATCAAATTTCTGTCGAGTGTGATATATGTTTGAAGTTAATGAAACCCCCGACTTAACCTACAGTTGGTCTACCACTTGCAACAGATTTTAATGAAACTGTAGCTGTCGATTTACATGAGATAGAACATAACTTATGATACTTGCATATCATAGACGGGTTCACAAGATTCAGTGCCGGTTGTATATTGCGAACAAAACTTACAGTACACTTCAAGGGGAAGTACTAAATTTCCCCGAGGTCCGACCTGGGCGGAAATGAAAAATCGCGGGCGTCAGTTAATCAATCCGCTCTGGCCACGCTCAAAATTCCGCTCTAAAATTCCTCCGCGAATTTAAATAAACCGCGGACCTCCGCGATTATTTTAAACCGCCGCCCACCGCGAAATTTTAACAAGTCGGACTTTCCATGCATGTACAGTCGGCACATCCATAGCTGATTTGAAATGGGTTTATTTATCGTGCGATTCCACGGCAGTGATATCGTAGTCGAATATCGGCATGCCAAAAGAAAGATTATTAATTTAACACGATTAGACACGCAGATTTTACTGGCTTATATTGAAAAGTAACAAAAATCAAACAGGCTTTTAAATAATAAAATAAACAGAATTATGGCTGTACCGTACATTACTTCATCAATATGTTCGACATTTTTAAGACTTGCATCGATCTTCTATTTCAAACTCATTCAAATTACGAAAATTTCAAAGTTTACACACATAGATGCTGGTCTTACCGTTAGCGAAAGTTTTGTCCATCGAAATAGCCATTTCCATTCGGACAAATATGTCACACAATGCATTTTAAATTGATAAATCACACCCGAACAAGTAATATATGCCTTCATGTCCTGTTTTCAAGCACACATAGCCAGAAGTCACCGTCAACCTTGCTGAACACATGTATCAGTCGGATAATACCTTGATTTTGGCACCAAAGAGTCTGGGTCAATGCATACTGTCAGTCAAGATTCCTAATTAATTACGTGAATTCACACGTGTCATCAAAAGGAATTGATAATTGACTAAAATAGAAGCCCCTTTAACAAGAAATTGTTACCATGTCGTATTCTTGTAAACAATACTTTCTATTAATTTTATTTACGATAAAACTCGGGATTTAAAAATG